CATCAAGCCATTGTATTGGTGATCTTCTGTCACCGACCACCCTACTACGGTCGTGACAAGAAACTCAAGGGGTTTCTTGGTGAAGAGCAGGTGAGGGACGAAGTCGGCGAAAATGAGAGTCTGCACACCAGGATGATGTAGAGAGCTCTGATTTATTATGCTAAAAGCTTGCTTTTTATACATTTAAACTTGTTTAAACTTGACTTATAGCCAACATTTTGTGATTACAAAGCTCACATAAGATTTTAACAAAAAGAAAATATTTTCTATTACTAAATAATAGCATCGGCTATTAAACATTCTTTGAACAAGAAACACAATGACCTTATGTTGGTCATCTGCTAGACAATGGTTAATGGTTTACATTTCACTTCCTTTCCTCTCCTACTTTGTGTCACTGTATTTTAGCCACCTTTGTTTTTGCCTTTGTACTCATATTTGTACTGTACCTAACGAATCTTAACATCTATTTTCTTACACTCTGGACCATTCCTATGTTTAACAATAGTTTTTGCAACTTGTCATAAGATTTTAATTTGTTTTTTGTGTGGCAATGTGCACTAAGGTGGACGACTTCCTTTAACTTGTTTTTACCAAGTTAATTTGTAATATTCAATTCTTTTTCCTTGGAATACAAAACGTCTGTATAAGGAAGAGGTACTGGTGTTGGAGTTGGCAGGACATATGGTCCTTTATAAGTACTTTCTTCCCACCACCTGTTATTTATCTGGTAATATTTCCTATTTCTTAAAGAGACCTTTACTTTTAGAGAAGTTTGTCTTTTGAGTCTTTTCTTAAACCTCTCTGTTTTATTCTCATTAACTATGACTTTCTGCTGTTAAAACTAGTCTAAACTTTCTTTTAATATACAATTACATTACTAAATATGAGTTGCAAGTATCACAAAAGAAGAATTAGATACATACCCAAAGATCATATTCAAAATTATACTTTTAAGAGCAATCTCAATTTCTTTTATATTTTCAGCTTGTTTGTTATCATTTCCAGGAACATCAAGTGGTTCCTGATTAAGGACTTTAGTTAAATCTTTATCCCAGTTCTGGTGAAGTTCCCCTGATTTTTCCCCAGAAACTCCCATTCTTATCCTAGAAGCAACTTAATTTCCAGAGGTTTCCCAGGATTACGAAGACCCATCTGTAACAAATATCCAGGCATCAGCCCACTCACAAGCACAGGGCTTGCAAGGTTCCCTCTTATGCTATCCTTGAGGTCAGAGACCCCGTACAGGCACGGACGACCCATTTTGTCACACAGGCGTCGTGGCCAGAGAGGACAGCGAGGCGGGTGTGGCAATCTTCCTCTCTGGCCCAAGGAAACCTCAACCTGCCACTGCGTCTCCCGCTGCGGCCATCTTGGCTCCAAGAATTCTCCCCAGAATAAGTCCACTCTGTGGCAGTGTGGCGGCTCCGCTGCACCAGCCTGGGGGGAGTGGGGTGGTGTCTACCGTTCATCCCAGATGAGGGGATCCCTGGGGTCTGGCGGTGGGAGCCTCATGGAGCTGCAGCGGCTGAGCAGACTCGGCAGCAGGGGGCTGGGAGCCACAGGACTCACCCATTCCTCCCTGGGAATCCTTGATCTCCTGATGTTGAGCCTCAATCCCCACCAAAGACCAGTCATCAACTGTTTAACTGTTAAATTACCAATAAACAGAGATCTGTAGAAGGCCATGGTGGCCCTCCTCCATGTGGTCCACTGCTCCCGCAGTTCACCACCCTGTTTCTGCCACTTCCGCTATTTTGGAATCAGAAAGTCAGCTTTAAAAGGTGCAGCCCCGATTCCTTTAAGGTTTTACAGCAGAATTAAACTTGTTCTATTTACACAGGAGGAGCTCTGGTCATATTATTATTAGGTGCTGTGACTCAGCAACTCTATGATCAGCGAATCAAAACCTTGCCCTATTCCATGCTACCTCACAATCTCTGCCATGCTCAAGTCCATTGTTGCAGGTACTGTGTCAATCCCTCTCATTAAGGATCTTCCTCTCTTTCACTGACCCTCTTCCTTTGCAAGTGTGATGCATTTTTCCAGGGACTGGTCTCTCCTAACAACATGCCCATAGTAGGTGAGAAGTTTCACCATCTTTGCCTCAAAGGAGCACCCTAGTTGCACCTTCTCCAAGACTGATTTGCTCTTTAGGCTGTTCAGAGTATATTTAGTACCCTTTTCCAAAACCACTATTCAGAGGCACCAATTCTTCTTCAGTTTTTGTTACTTTAAAGACAACTTTACTCTTTAGAGCTTTAAAAATTCATTCAGCTATGGTGCAACCACTGTGGAAGGCCGTATGGTGTTCTTTCAAATAGTTAGAAATAGAAATGCCATTTGACCCAGCAATTCCACTACTGGAAGTATACCCCAAAGAGATCGTAACTGCCACCCAAGCAGATATATGCACACCTGTGTTTATTGCTGCTTTGTTCACAATAGCAAAGAGCTGGAAACAACCCAAGTTCCCATCAACAAATGAACTGATAGAGAAATTGTGGTATATTCACACAATGGAATATTACACAGCATTGAAAAACAAGGAACTCATGAAATATTATACAAAATGGGTGACCCTGGAGGACATTATGTTGAGTGAAATATCTCAATCACAAAAGGACAAGTACTGCATAATGCCATTGTTATAAAACAGGACTGACATCAGGATTGGGAGGAAAAGAGGGGATAAATAATGTACACTGCATTGAAACATAAGGGAGAGAACTATTTAAAAGAGATATATGAATAGGTATTATTTGCATAGCAAGAGTCCAGAATAAGAGCTGCATAGTAAAGTGGACTTGGGGGCATTGTTTAACAATGAAAGATTTTTTTTTCTTCTCAAAGAGGAAAGTGAACAGAGGGCAGTGAGGAGTGGGCAGTGAGGAAAATGTGCAACAATGAATGAATGGAAATCCAAGTTCTCTATAATCTTTCACTAAAATCTCAACCCGAAAAAAAGTCATTAAGCTAAAAGACATCTGGTGGCATAGTTGAAAGCGAGTTGCACTGTTTGTGATGATGAGCTTGCTAATCCAAAGGCTGCACATTGCTGGTTGTTCATATCTACCTGGCAAAAAGATGAATAGTCTCCTTCCATTACAATTTAAAGTCTCAGAACCAGCAAAATAGCAAAGTTCAACAGAACAGTAAACAATAAATACCGGCAAGGTTGTGGATAGATTACCCTTATTAACTGCTGGTGGGAGTGTAAACTGGTGCAGCCACCATGGAAGGCGGTCTGGCACTTTCTAAAAGAGTTGGAAATAGAAATACCATTTGGAAAAAAAAAAAAAAGAAATACCATTTGGCCCAGCAATTCCACTATTGGGAATATACCTTAAAGAAAGCAGAGTTGCCACCCAAACAGATGTGTGCTCATCCATGTTTACTACAGTGTTATTCACAATCGCAAAGAGATGGAAGCAACCCAAGTGCCCATCAACAAATGAATGGATAGAGATGCTGTGGTGTGGTCACACAGTGGAATACTATGCAGCACTGAAAAACAATGAACTAGTAAAACCTTACACATCATGGAGGACATTATGCTGAATGAAATACCTCAGTAAAAAAGGACAAATGCTGCATAACACTACTGTTATAAAACAGGACTGACATGGTTGGGGTTAGGGGAAAAGTAGGAAAAGAGAGGATAGATAATGAGCAATGCATTGGAACAGATGAAGGAAAGAACTGTTTAACAGGAATATATGATTAGGAATTATATGTATGATAACAGTCCAGAGTAAAAGGTGCATTACAAAGTGGACTGGTGGAGGGGGAAGGGAGGGAGGAAAGTGTGCAACAATGAATGAATGACAATCTAACTTTTCTGTAAACTATTGTTAAAATCACAATAAGAATTTTTTTACAAAACCAAGTAAAGTCTCAGAAACAGGATGCTATGAGTTATTTACCTTCAAATCAAGTTCCTCTGATTTTAGACTTTCATATAGCATACAAGGACAGACGACCTCAACACGACATCCAATTTCAGGAACTCAGAAGCCTGGATTCCAGGAGAATCAAATTTGTTTGTTTGTTAAAAAAATTTTATTGTATTATTTTTACGTGTACCATCAAATCAGATCTGACCGGTACAGGAGGAGATTTCCCCCTCCTTCTCCAGCAGAGCATCTGGTGGATTTGAACCACATACTTCTGGGATTGAATCAAATGGTTTTGTTGTCACTTATCTCATGCACAGATTCACCCTCCCTGGGGCAGAAAGAACTGAAAGAACTGAGGCAATGTCTCAGGCTGTTTCTCCTATTCTTCTTGAACTATGCCTGGCAATCATGGGGAGTCATTGCCCCGGGATTGCTGCCTTGACAATCACTGGGAGTCACCAAGTGCCACTTGCTCATGTCTAAATCCTGGGACTGTGGGCCCTGTTGGCTTCGCCGTGTGTGCAGAAACCCCGAATATAGAAAGCAGCAAGGGTAGCAGAGGAAGCTGAGAATCCGAGACCAGGGTTCCTGATTCGCCATTCCACCACTCCATACATAACCTGTCATCCTATGGCCATGGGGTCTTGGGCAAGACTGAACCTTACTCGGGTGGTGGGATGCCTTGGAGACACAGCACTTGGGAACTGCACCAATGCCAGCTGCACCAGTGCACTGCTTTGTGACCTTGCCCATGTTAACTCTTGAGTCTCAGTTATTTCGCCTTCAAGGCATTAAAGGGTAATTGAGAAAAGCCAGCATCAAGTGTCTGGGAAATGCTTGCCAGTATCATTCTGTCTACTCCTCATTGCCCTTGGCATTGCCTCACAGATCCACTGTATCTTGCAAGATGGGGGATGGGGTTGCAGCGCTCAGGCCAGCAGGGTCGCTAGTGACCAGTCGTGACAGCGGTGGTGCATTGTGGGGTTTGTAGTGCGGGGCTGGGGGTGGGTAGGTGGGCGCGGCCCCGGCAGTCGCAACGGGGCCATCTTCTGTGTGCGGATTTGGCCTGCGCTGTCCGCGCTGTCCCTTTCGCCCGGCCCCATGGCGCCGCGGCCGCTGGGTCCCCTGGTGCTGGCGCTGGGAGGTGCCACGGCCGTGCTCGGCTCGGTCCTCTTCTTCCTCTGGAAAGTCTACTGCGGCCGGGAGCGGCGCTGGGACTCGAGCGAGGCCTGGTGGGGTGCGGAGCCCGCCCGCCTCCTCGACTGGGCCGTGAGTGCGGGGCCGGGGCCAGGGCCCCGGGGACACGGGTGGCCGGGGTCTGCGCCTCAGCGCGCGTAGCTGCGTCCTGGCGAGGCCAGGAACCTCCAGCTCGGGGCAGGGAGGTGGGTTTCCAAAGAAATCTGTGCCAAGACATCGAGGAAAGCTTCTAAAAGCTAAAGATATATTTTTCAAATTAAGACCAGTCAGTAAAATGACACTACTTGGGGGCTGGGAAGTTAGGATGACAATGGATTTGCATCAGAAGGGGTGAAGATCTGGCTTGGGCACCGGAGGCCACAGGCCCCACGTGGGCGGGCAATCCCTGGACAGGACGGAGTGGGCACTCTTGGATGTGTGTGCTCCGCCATGCGGTGACGCAGAACTCACGGAGTCCCCCCCGGGGGCCACTAGCGCGAGAGGGAGTTCCAAGGATGCGATCCCGCGCCCGCCCCAAGTGGCGCCTGCGCGATGTGCGCTGCCGTGCGGCCGGGTCGGGGTCCCGAGGCAGAGGTCACGCGTGCGAGAAAGCGAGGTTGTAGGAAGGGAAGAGCTTCCCCCCCAGTCATCCGGGGGAAACTCCACAAGTGGAGTCTAGGATTCAGGACTTCGATGGCAATGCTCGCCCCGCGTCTCCTCATCGTGGTGCCCCGCCCTTAGCGGGCGGAGAGCGGGATGGATGGGTGCTGCGGTGCCTTCGGCCTGCCTCTGGGAAGGGCGGGCGGGAGGCTGCATCCTGAGGTCTGTTCTGCAGCCCGAGGAAGAGGAGGAGGAGACCGAGGAGGAGCCGTCGCTGGAGCAGCTCGAGCAGCGCGAGGTGCTCGTGTTGGGGCTGGACGGCTCCGGGAAGACCACGTTCCTGCGCGTGCTGTCGGGAAAGCCACCACTGGACGGCCACGTCCCCACCTGGGGCTTCAACTCCGTGCGGCTGCCCACCAGGAACTTCGAAGTAGACCTGCTAGAGAGTGAGCAGATCCCCATCCTCCCGGTCTTACCGCCTCTGCGGGGTGGCCTCCAAAATAGTGGCCTGAGCATTACTGCCCGCCCGGTGTTAGAAACTCATCATCTTTCTTCATCCCTCTGCATGTTCCAGGCTCGCTATTATGGCAGCCAGGACTCTGCTGCTGCTGCTGCTGTTGTTCATTGCCCACTGGACCTCTAGTGAGTTCTCAGAGGTTGTAAATTGCGTGGGAGGAGATTGCACATCTTTCTCCTGCAGAGTAGCTGGTGGATTCCAGGCATCTTCCCTTGAGTTGGCAGCACAACGCCTTACCCACTAGGCCACCAGAACTCCCTTGTCGGACCCTTGTTTGTTGTTGGGTGCCATCAAGTCGGTATCGAATAGTAGCTGACCTTATAGTGAGTTTTTAGAATAAATTACAGAGAAGATTGTCCATCTTTCTCCCGCAGAGCAGCTTCTGGATTTGAACCGTGTTCCTTTGAGTCGGCAGCACACCTCCTTACCACTAGGCCAGTAGCGCTCCCTATAGGAGCCCCAGTGTTCCTGAATCTCTAGCTTGGTCATCAGAAACCAACATACCCTATTGTGTGTCAAGCACCTGACAGGCAATAAAATCCTCACAACCACCCCAAGAAGTGGTCACACACACCCCAAAAGTGATCAGTCACACATACATAGGGGCACTATGAGACGTCGACTTGATCGCATCTAATTCACCCCAAACCAAGAAATGGTGACTAGCCTGAAAAATATTCTTTCATTGGTAAACTGCTATTCACCTTTCAAGATTAAATTTAAAGATGACATCCCTGACTGGGTGTTTGCCACATACCACCTGACTAAGTTTGGCACTTAGCCCAACACAGTTCTAACCCAGGTGGCATTCTGGATAGGTCCCTTTGCGGGCTTGTTGTGAGTTGTCAGGGAGGGCCTGACCAACTCCTCACCCTCCATCCTTGGGCTCATAGGCTCTTCAGGAGTATGACAGAGAGTACCAAGAGGCTAGGAGTCCTTCCCGCCTTCAGAGGACTCAGACCCTTGGACTGACAGCATTTGGTTAGATGTTACGTAGGGATCAGGTTCAGGTAGGGATCAGGTTCAGAGGACCCGGTGGCGGCTGCTTTCCTTCTTGGTTGAAGCAAACATCATAGTCACCTGGGATTCAAGTCTTTCAGCAGCCTTTCCCTGGTACTGTCTCTCTGCCGGGGCCCCGTAGGGATCAATGGGGCCTCTGCACATGAGGTGCTCTCAGTCTGACAGACAGTGGTCACCTCCTAACCCTGGAAGGAAGGGATTGGTGTTTTATTTTTACCTTACCTTATAGTCTAAGCTCAGTAAGCCCAACCAGCGTTAAAATCAATTATTTCTGTGAGTCTTGAGGCATTCCCCTCCCCTAACCAGTCACTCCATTGTGGTATTCCACATCATCCTTCCTGGGGCTCTGCAGAGATTGGGTCCATTGTCTGTAGCTGTGAATTGAACAAATGAATTAATACTCACTGAAGTTCTCCCTTTTTTACTACTAGGTTTTACTACTAGGTCTAGCACTTATATCCTCCAGTAGATTCTGAGTCTGTCCACTTCTCTCCACTGCTGCCTCCCAGGTCCGGGCCTCTAACATCTCTCTCCTCTCCATACTGCTCTTCCTGCACCATGTCATTCTTCAACCTACAATTTCCCCGCCCACATGTGTAGTACTTTTTTTTTCCCTTTTCCAGTATTTTTACTTATTGCCATGATCTTCATGTGTAGTACTTTTGTGGTGCAGCCAGTTAACCTCGCTTGTCACACACCCTCCCTCAGGTGTTCCCTCAGACATCCGGGCCTCCTTCCTCTGTTGGAGACACACTCAACACGTTCTCCTCTCTATCTGTCATGCTCTTCCTCTGCCTAACTGTCATCCCATCATCCCTGATTCAGCTCACATACCACCTTCTTGGAGAGACCATGGCAGACTCTCACCCCCTGCTACTTTCATTCTTTCTATTCTTTTTTCCTCCCTTCTGGAATGTGTTGATGTGTCATTGCAGGGTCCACCCTGATCAAAGAGGGTGTGCCTTGAGAGCAGGGCCCTGCCTGCCTCGCTCCCCTCTGCATCTCAACACCCAGGTCAGTGCTTGGCACCTAGTAAGCACTCAGTAAATACTTGTTGAGTGCTTGCTGTGTGCCAGGCATTGTGCTGAGGGCTTTGGGGGGATCCAGAGGTAGACGGCTCTAACTCTCAGAGAACTTAGAGTCCACAAGTGTCAGAGGTGGAACTAAACCCGCTATGATTCAGGGGGATCGATGAGGACTATACAGTAGGGCACCTCAGGCAGAAGGCCTGACATGTCCAAAAAGAGAAGACGAGGTGATCAGAGCAAATGGGGAATGCGAGTGGAAAGCTGTGGGTGTAAGGGGTGAGGTCCTGAATTCTAGACACGAGGATTCCCAGTTTCTGATCCCATCTACCTCTGACCCAGGAGGAGGCAGGAATTGGCAGCAGGGAAGGCAGCCCAAAAGAGAGAAATGGGGAGGACCATATTTTGAGCACCTGCTATACGCTGGTTCTAGGACAAGCACATTGCATGTGGTACCTTTTACAGCAACCTGTTAGATGAGTTCACTGAGGAGGAAATTGGTGCCTAAAGGCAGGGACTGGTCTAAGGAGACCCCACAGGCAGCTGGGGCTGCACCCAGGGCTGCTTGTTGTTGGAGCCTGTGGTCTCTTCTTTGTCCCTGCCTGTTGGCATCTCAGGAAGCAGGTAGTAGGGTGGGGCTGGGGCTGTGTATGCCACGTCAGGGCCAAGGGCAGCTCTGAGCTAGCCCCTGGCCTCCACAGTCGGTGGCAGCCAAAACCTGCGCTTCTACTGGAAGGAGTTTGTGAATGAGGTGGATGTGCTGGTGTTCATGGTGGACTCGGCTGACCGGCTGCGTCTACACTGGGCCCGGCAGGAGCTGCATAGGCTGCTGGACAAGGACCCTGACCTGCCTGTCATCGTGGTGGCCAACAAGCAGGTAAGGGCTGCGGGAGGCCAGCTCAGGCCACTGTCCCTTTCCCACTGATACCCATGAGAGAGCAGGGATCTGGATCCAGGTCTGAGACCTCGAGCCCAGCTAAGCTGCTGTCCCCGCTTTCTTGGCCTATGCTCTCATGTCCTTCTTCTCTGCTACTCTCCATCTGTCATCTGGAGAGATTAACAAATAATTATCACGCACCATCTCTGAGCCAGGTGCGTGGGTCTCTAGGCAGCAGAAACCATTAAGCACTTGAAGTTGAGAGTTTGGGGATTCAGGCTCACCCAGAGGTGTCTCAAAAGAAAGACCTTTGGATCTGCTGCTGAAAAATCCGCCATTGAAACTCCACGAAGCACAGTGACTTAAACACACGCGGAGTCCCCGTGAGTCAGAATGGAGGTCAGCTGGCTGGTCTTCATGTGCCTGTGATGTTGAATGACATGTTTCTGTTCGTCCTGCAAGCTGTGGGATAGAAGCATTCCTAGTTTATAGATCAGAAGTCTGAGGCTCAGGTTTTATAGTCCCCTTAAGGTTGTACAGATTGGAAGGGGTGGAACAGAGCTGTCTAACTAAAGCCTGTGCCTTTACCATTCTGCTATATCCTTTCTGGCTGCAGAACAGAGAGGCAGCTCTGGGAAGTGATAAAAAGTAAAACAGATTAAATAATAGCAACGTTCATTGTATGTTTACAGTATGCCAGACACAGGGCTAAATATTTGACAGTCTTGTTCTCATTAAAGTTCTACAAGAAGCCCCATGATAAGCCTTCCTGCTATCCCTGCTTTGCAAATACTGAGACCTGGAGAAGTGGCTAAAGTTACAGTTTGTGGCAAAGCCAGAACTTGAGCTCGGGTCTTCTTAGAAGTTTTCGATCTAAACTCTACCACATAGCTCTTCCAGGACTGGGGAGCTTCTCTGGGCCCCTTCGTCCTCAGCACCACAGACCTCAAGTGGCATTCTCAACACCTATGAGATGGCCACAGAATAGAGCCCTGTCATAGCTCCTGGGACCTGAGCCACGGGGCCTAGTCAGCCTGCTTAGAGAAAGGAGGTGTCTTTGACCTCGGATTTCCCCTGTCCATTAGGAAAGACCTGATGGTCATTACTAAATATAGTCACCATATGTGCCCTGTTGTTCTAGAACAGTTCCATTTATGCTCATGTTCTGTTGTTATTATCAGTAGTGTCCCCCCTCCCTTCGAGTCTCACTCAGAAGTACCTGGTCGTGACAAGAAATGATATCATCCTGCTTATAAAAACTATAACTTAAAGCAAATTTTGAACCAACAGGAGAGCATATGAAGGGCCTCAGCATTCTATGAACTGTTATGAGTCATTTTGATCTTGGGCCACAGTGAGAATGTGCAGTATATGGTCACTGGCTGTGCTATTTAGTGGCCCCTTTTTCTCCTTAACTGGGATCTGTGGGATAGTACCCTCATCTGGGACCGTAGTCTACTGTACGGTTGCCCTGTTGGTGAGCTTAGGAAGCTCAAGTGTGATTCCTTAAGGGCCATGACGTTTGTCATCACAATGTCTGACGTGCAGGAACTGCTTGGTTTCTGACCCGAGGGGCTGAGTGACAGGTGACAAAAACTCAGTGCAAAAGAGAATCAGAGATGAGGAGAGAGTATTTGAGCAAAAGTTCCAGAGGCTGCTTGTGGAATGTGGACCCCAGTGCTCTGCAGGTAGTCTGAGAACAGTTACCCTGTGGATGCCAAGAGCAAGAGCATGCTGGGGAGAGGGGCTGCCCTGTTCCAACTGGCTTCTGTTTCCCTAGGACCTGAGCGGGGCCATGAGTGTGTTGGAATTGCAGCGGGAGCTGGGCCTGCAGGCTATCAACAACCACCGGGAGGTGTTCCTCTTGGCAGCCAGCATTTCCCCGGAAGGTTCTAACTCCAATGAGCCTGGCACCGTGCAGATCTGGAAGCTGCTCCTGCAGCTTCTCTCCTAGGCAGGAACACCTGGCTCAACACCCCACCCTGGGACTCAGTGCTGCTGCCACTCCTGCTTCATCAGTGCTGTCTGGAGCCTGCCGTCGAGCCACATCTCAGCGCTTTTCTTGTCTTTTCTCCTCCCCTCTGGAGAGTCTTGGCAAGCCTTCCTGGGGAGGGGTCCATAACTGAAGCAGGAAGAGGTGATAGAAGGCTAAGGGTGGGAGAGGGTCATGTCCTGTGTATGTCAGGCTCCAGTATGACCTAGCCTTCCCCAGTAAAGACACCCCCTCTCTCACCTGGTCAGTGAGGTGCTCGGGGCTCTGTCCTCACCTCATTGCAGACTTGGGGATGGCAAGACCATATAAGTGTTAGAAATACTCCAGGGGCTGCCAAGCCTCCCTGTGTTAGCTGCTCCCTCCTGATGACCTGTGGGCAGGTTCGGGGCAGCACCCATGAGCCCTGCCATGTGTTCTAGCCCAGCTCTGCCCAGTCCGCCTGGTCCTGTGCAGTCACTGTGTCTTTGCTTTTCATTTCTGTAGCCATCATTTTTAAAGGAAGGTGATTTCCATGATTTTTTTCTGACTTGGAGATGCATATCCCAGCCATGGAGATAAAAGCATTAGAACAGACGGGGAGGGAGCCTAGGTCTTTCTGAAGACCTCCCTGCATTCCCCTGAGCCAACACCTAACCTGCGAGCCTTTCCTGACTACGGAAAAAGGGACATTCACCCACCAGTCAGAAAAACTGGAGAGACTGTTTTGTGTTGTAGTCTGGAGACAAGCTATTGCTCTCACACTCACTTGTGCCAATGTCCATGTTTACATCAGTCTGGGGACCGGAAGCACCCCCAGAAGATTGTGCATGGGAGTGAGGTGTCAGCCTCAGCCTGCCTGCATTTTATTTATTTATTTATGAAAGGAACAGGCCAGATTTCGAGGCTGTATTCATTGGTGCTGTTATCAACATCTCATAAGACTGTAAAGTCTGAAAGTAGCTGGAATCTTGAGACAATGCTGTGGCCCCTCTATATCACCTGGTCTGTGAGCTCTGTCACGTGATGCTTCACATTAATCAACAGTGAACATGAATTCCACCACTTGGCCCAGGAGGAAGGCTGCAGGTATGGAGATGGATTAAAAACTCCATCTTTAGGTAGGGATGTAGCAGAGCAAGTCACTCGCTGACCTTGGCTGCACCACTCAGGCTTTCTGGCCCTGCTTCTGCTCCAGCAAAAGCAGAGTTGGATAGCAGAACGTGCCATGGCACTGTGGGATCAGTGACCGAACAGTTTGAGGCCTGTCTTTATTGACACCTCTTTAACACAGGCAAAAGGACCCTTTTCCCTGCCAGGTTCCACTAAATAATAAACAGCTCCAAGTGGGCATTTTTGTTTATTTGTTTAGAGGAATATCCAACTCTTGTTTTGAGAATAGACGGTGTGCCTTCAATTCATCTGCTGTCTAACCAGCATTTCTCTATTTCATCCTATAGCCAGCAGAAGCAGCACCAGAAAAGGGAGAGGGTAGGGAGCTCCAGGAGTCAGCCTGTAGGGTGGGATTTACAGTTAAATTTGCTATTTTGCTTTTCGTTTTCCCATTGACAGGTAAGAAACTATAGGTAGTCCACTGATTACGCATGAGATTGGGTCCTCAAGTCTGTCTTTCAAAAGTCCACTGCCGTCGAGTCCGTGTTGACTCCCAGCAGCCCCTCCCCGTGTGTATGAGGCTGTCAGTGCCCCATCTCTCTCCTGGGGAGCAGGCAAACTGCTGACCTGTTGGTTAACAGTCTGACACGTTATGCTCTGTGCAATCATATAGCACCTTAAAATGTCTTTAAATCTGTCAAATTTGTAGATAAATTGGAGCAAATACTAATGGATTTTATTTAGCCTTTATTTTAGTATAAGAGAAGGTTCCCAAACCTTTTCAGTTGTTTAAAAGCTGTCCGTGAAGCCAGTGAAGGTGATCCTGAGAAAAATTTGTTCCAGGTAGTCCGGTCATTTCATAGCAAGAGCATACTTGCCTACCATTAAAAGGCAAATTCAGACGTGTAACCCAGGTCCTTGCTGTTGCCACTCTGTTCTCGTGCTTGCAGATGACCTCTAGGACCAGAATTAACTGTTGATCAAGGAGGCCTTTCCCCCAGCCCTCATTTAAGACACCTTTTGGCCCAGTGTGGAGTATGTAAAGCCTTCAGTTCAGGAGTGGAACTTGAGGGATAAAGGGTTGGGCCACTTTTACCAGAGATGCCTCTCTGAATGGTCTAGCTCAGGAACCCTGGAGGGTAGGTCCTCAGCGCCACCCTCCGTGTGCCTCTTACATCACAGTGACCCAGGCAAAGTCACATACTTACTGCTCACAGCTTGAGTTTCTACTAAGCTAGGGCTGGAGAGGCAAAGGACACAGCTGACCAAGACTAGATTTGAGAAAAGTTGGGAACATTTCTTAACATTTTCAACTCACTGCCTGACGTGCTGGTACTCTTACCAGTGGCTTCTGAATATTCCTCTCTGATTCTGGAGCCCAGAACAACAGTTGGTGCTTAGGAACAAACAACATTATCACAACAAAAAAAACAACGAGGACATCAGACCACCTGCCACCAACAAGGAGGAGGCAACAAAACAAACAACAGCGTGATTAGGAGGATGCAGCACAGAAGACCCCACCAGGCTACGACGACCACCATAGCAGCACCCCCCAACAAGAAACCACCGCTGCCTCCTCCTGCCACCAGTTAAAAAACTGCTACAACAGCAACCAGTCAACAACTAAGAAGAGGAAGAAGACAACATCACAACATCATCAGCGCCCCCACAAGAACTGACGACGACCACACAACAACGCCTCCCCCCCGCAGCAGAGCAGCACAACAAACAACTACCACCACCCCCCGCAAAAAAACACTGTCATCACCACCAGGGGCAGCAGGAGTGAGCAGCACAACAAACCAGCTGAAAAAACAGGCGACAACAACCACCCACCAACAAAAAACACGAGGTGGCACCAACAACACCTGCAGCAGTTGCTACCAGATGATCCAAAAAACATCATGAATAATTATGAAGAAAAAAAAGGCTGGGCAGCAACGAAAAAAAGGGGGGGGCACCACCACCACCCCCCCTCCAAGAAACGAACGACGTCCACCAAACAACACCCAGCAAGAAAAAAACCCTCCCGCAGCACACCATCAGAACAAAGAACACAACAAGGCCAACAAGTTGTAACAACAAAAAAAAAGAGGAGTCTGCACAACAGAGGAACAAAAAAAAAAACAAAAAAACATGATGTGGTTTCATCTGATTTTGAGATGCTGTTGCAGGCTGTACTGAAGTCTGCTATGGAGTGTGGTGATGTAACACATGATAAAACACACGTGTCCTTGTGTTACTATAATGTGTCAAGTCCCAGTCCCTTGAACTTACCTGAGGGTGGGGGGAGAAATGGCTACGTAACATAAGCTTTGGCCTACTATTAACATCTCTGAGGTTATTAAGGGTGTACCATTCCATTCCAATGAATGGGATGTCTTCAGGGACCAGAGGGGAGGACAGCTTTCTCTACTTGTGAGGGTAAAGTGACACACCTTATTGGGTTTCCCCCATCTACTTAAGCCCAAGCCCTTCTCCCTTTTTAAAAGCAGTGAAAGGAGATTATAGTTGTTTTTAGAAGATAACTTCCTAATGAGAAATTTTCTCATTAATAATAACTGGGGATACTGATCATGCCATGGACTGCCAAAAGAACCAGTTTCTGTCTTGGAAGAATAGCAACCAGGGTGCTGCTTACAAGTTGGTGAAACTTCATCTCACATATTTGGTCATGTTATCAGGAGGGGTCCTGGAAAAAAGGCATCATGTTGAGAAAGGTGAGGGTCAGCAAGAGGCCTGACACAGTGACTAATAATGGATTTGAGCATAACCAAATGGTGAGGAAGGGTCATGATAGTACAAGATTCAGTTCTTTACATGGGGATGTTGTTGTTAGGTGCTGTCATATAAGACTCACAGCGACCCTATGAACAAAAGATTTGAACCCTGTTCTATTCTGTGCCATCTTTACACTTCCTGACCCACAAGAGCCCATCACAGCAGACACCACATCAATCCACCCGGTTGAGGGTCTTCCTCTCCTTTGCCGACCCTCCATCCTTCCCAGCATCATGTCCCTCTCCAAAGAGCAGCCCCTCCTAGCAACATGCCCAAAGTGGGTTGAGGTGAAGCCTCATCATTCTTGCCTTCAAATAGCACTCTGGCTGCACCCTCTCTAAGACATACTGGTTTGTTATTTTGACTGTTCAGTGCTCTGCCTGGTGCTGTGTTCGAGAACATCATTCTGAGTGGTACAGATCTTGTCTGTCAGTTTTCTGTACTGATATAACTTGGGGTTGCTGTGATACTGAAAGCTGTGCCAAAGTGTGTCAAAAGCTGTAAGGGTTGCCCACGGTGGACAGGGCCCAGATTAAGACAGACTGGGAAGCGGGATTAACATCCTGCTTGAAAATCTTATGAACACTAGAGGGGTTGCTATGAGCTGTAATCAATTCAGTGGTACCTAACAATTGGCGATAAAAGCATCAAAGTACCAAGTGCCCAGTCCATAAGCTATTTCTGGTCTCTGTAAGGAGTCTTCATGGCATAGTACTTAATGTGCTGTTTCCTGAAAGCAGTCCAGGTCCACCAGTTACTCTGAGGGAGAAGATGGACAGTTTCCTCCCATAAGGATTTTACAACCTTAGAAACCCAATGAAGTGGGTAGTTATGAGACGGAGTCTACTTGAAGGCAGTGTGTTTAGAAGTCATTACCTCCTCACAGGTCTGGTCCCAAAGTATGGTATTCAGTAGTTTGCCAGACAGCCCTTGAGGGAGGTTTGGGGACCTTGGGTTCACTGTGGGCCACGGCCAACACAGCTAGCCTGAGAGCAGCACTACAGTTCCTGACTATCCCCCAGGAAGGGATGGGGTTAGCACTGGTGAAGTTGGTTCCTTCTGACAGCCCAGGGATCCTCTCAGCCTTCTGTATAGGGTTAATGGAGCTGCTCTGCAGGAAACTAAGGCAACTGCAGTGGATGCAAGAAAAAGGGACAGGGAAGCTGGCATGTGAATGTGAGGTGGCAGTGCTGAAGTTTCTGGACAGCACTGCTTTTCCTACAGACAGCATCAGGAGTTGAAAAAAACAAAACAAAACCAAACATAAGAAAAGTAAAAGCCTATTTATTTTGCACACTCTTCAAACCAACCAAACAACTCTGCTCTGGCTGAGAATCTGTTTAAAGTCAATACCAAGAGGTCTCAATAAATGAGAACTAGAGCTGCAGGGACAGAAGACAGCAAGCTCTGGACTTGGCGAGCTCACAGGTTAGAAATGAGAGACTCTGAAATACTGTTCTTGGCACTAGCCCTCATGCCAGTGCGGGAAAGAATATGTATGTCTGTGAGTCTCTGTGTGTGTAACCTTGATACCATGGAGTTTAACTAGCCTTGTGCAGTCACACACCCTTCCCTGTCTTAACCCTGAGTTCCTGTTTCTCCAGTCCAGGAGGAAGTCTTGGAGGGGGATAGGTGTGGATAAGTCAATCAACCTCCATTTTATTCTTCTGCAAAGAATTGTTGAACTCTTGCCACTCCGCTGGGTAAAAACGCTTATAGACGTTGATCTTATTCCGAATCTGTTTTGGGGTGTCTTGGTAGTAATTCTTCTCATCTCGGGCCATGGCCTAAAAAGGGAGAAAGGCCAGGTAAGGAGGGCTTGTCAAGCATGGGTTCAGGCCTCAGTTCTGCTGCTGACAAGGCATTCCTCTCTCTAGTGTCCTCACTTCACACGATGGTGTACATGACCCCTCTGCACTAAGGCGTTAGGGAAACAGGTGGAAATGTTTTGAAGGACGAGGCAGGTCTGCCTCTGAGGAGCCGAACAGGAGCTGAGGAGATGATATCCATCCAGTCAACTAACCTATAACCTGGGTACAGGGGCCCACTCTATACAAAGCTTCCAGTTTTTTTAAATGAAGCCAAAAAGAAAGACTTTTTTATTTAAAGTTTCTTCCTACTCTGGGATTCTGTCAATATTAGAACCCTGTCCATAAGATCCCTTTCCTAAAGTCTGATTTTTGTTCTTTCTTCGCTACTTGGTTTCAGGAAACAGGTGCTTGCAAGCGACCTGGGCATTAAATGACCCAGGGGTTCTTCGCATTGACTTCAGTGGTTCTTTCCTGCCACACCTGAGACACTCACCTTATAGTCCTCCCCATGGTTCTCCACCATATAACGTACATAATCAATGAGGTCCCGCGAGAGAGTGTTTCCTTTCTTTTCTGGCAGGCTGGCTTCTGCTTCTAAGTCTAGAGTAAAAGAAGGAAGTCAGAAGACAGGGAATGAGGCTTTGCCTCTGCACTTTTAAAGCTGTACAGCATCCCTTCACCCATCCTAAGCCACCAGCTAATACTCTAGCCATCTGATGGGCTTTGCTTCTCAATCCACATGTTCATTTCTGGAACCTTCCTTTTCAACCCCTTAGATCTCAGGCTTTGCCTTATATGGTATCATCATCTAGCAACACAGTAACTAACCAAATAGCTAATCCTTTCTCTGCAGGCCTCAGAGGGGTAAAATGAGAGCACCAAATTAATTCTATTTAGTACTATGCCCTGAGGATAGGGATTTTACATTCCCAGCCTATAAGGTAGGAGGCCCTTCCAGTCCAAAAACTCTGCTTGAGAACCTAAGTCAAAATAAAGAAGTCTCAATAAATGAGAACTAGAGCTGCAGGAGAGAGGAGGTAAGGAGCTGTGAAGCCAACCCAGCGGCTCTGTGGAGAAAGAAGGGCAGTTTCTTCCTGTGCAATTTACAGCCTTAGAAAACCCACTTGGAGAGTCAGCTATGAGTCAGTTCCAACTCATCAGCACATAACAGCAGAGTTACAGGGACTGGGAATGTCCCCGCTGCAGGGAGAATCTAGCCAATGGGAGGCAGATAACAACATCACTTTTAAAATCGCTGGATGACCTGAACAAATGCACCTCCATTTCTCATCTATGAAGTGGAAGTGAGAGCTCTAATGAAACTGTAATGACTAAATAGCACCATCGAATATTATCCCGAGTTGGGTGTTAAAATGGTTTCATCTAAAAGAAGCCCCTAATAGTGTAGTAGTTCATTTTCTGCTGGGCTGCGAACAAAAGATTGGCAGCTTGAATCTACCAGCTGCTTCTCAGGAGGATGAATGGTAGATTCATCCTACACAGAGCTGCAGGCGTGGGAACCCCGAGGAGGGTCACCATGTCCTGGAATCGACTCAACGCAGTGGCTGAGGGTGATAAACAAACAAACATGGGTTCCCACCTATAATCTTGCACAGTAATTTTCATGAAAACTGCCAAGATAGGCTAACAACAAGAAAAAATCAGGTTCTATATTAAATGCCTGGCCATTCAAATCATTATGCCTTCAAAAGTACTGACAATCCCTGAAAGGAATCAGAAGGATGGATGGAGAATTCCAGAGTATTCTTGTCTCCCCCTCTTAGGGTATACTTTCTTATGGTTTAATACTTAATCTCTATACCATTAACATGCATGAAACAAATTTGTAGTTGGGAAGATTAAATGCAGTAGTGGAATCTCTATTGTCAGTTTATCTTTAAATTAATGATACTCAATACCTGCTTAAAAAATCAGTGGTTTTTTTCCTTTCCCAGGCACCTAGTTACCTCCTCCATAGATCTCTTCTTACAAGTTTACACATCTGACTTTAGTTAAAAGATTGAAAATATCACATGCAGGGACACAGGTCTAACTTTGTTAGCCTCGTATCGGCTCATTTCTCCCTTCTGAACCTTGGTTTCTCCATCTATAAAATAAGTACACCTGAAGGCCCTTTCCAGCTCTGACAGTGCAGGATGATGACCTAAGGGCGTGAGGCCCATACCCACCGTTCAACACATAGGGTTTCCGCACCAGCAAATTTGTCCTCTCAACATCCACTTCCATGGCCTGCACCTGCAAAGAAAAGAACCCTCCTGTAAACTGGCTAATGAGTGAAACAGGTCCTCCGCATCCCAACAGTGGGAGAAGAAGCCCTACCCCAAATCAAGCTGAACTAGGTCACAAGGAGAGGCAGTACCTGGGAGCTTCTGTCAGGTGGAATTCATAGTTTTCAAAAGAAACAAAAGCAAACAATTGATCTTTCTGTGCCTGTCTGTAAAAACTTCCTGTCGGTTTCATTTGACACAATGTACAAGGAAGTGCTTTAGAATTCACAAGTAGGAATGCTAGATAGCTGTACTATACAGAGGAGTCTTTGGCTATCGCTTAGCATGTGTTCAAGAGGCAGTAAAGCCATTTTCCTCTTATAGGAAGGAAAATGAAACTTGCCTAAGGACAAATTCACTCAGCAAGCCCATTCATTAAGGGACTTACTGAGTACTTACTCCCTTAAGCATCATTGTGGTTGTTGATTGCCTTGGAGTCGAAAATGACTCACAGCAACTCCATGAACAAAAGACCTAATGTCCTCCTATAACTATCATAGTTTCTCCAAGTTCAGTTTCCAGAGGCATGTGGTTTAGGAAGTGGATGCCACTCCTGCTTCCAAACCTGTTTTACAACTAGGAGCTCCACCAAACACTGTCCACATTGGGAAACCAATATGGCATTTAACACCCTAATGGTACAAGATTCAGCATCAGCGTAAAACCGAATTACCTCAGTACAGCAAACTCTCTGAGAAAGAGTGATGTACAAAGTAGAAGAATGTTCCTCCAAAACATAACAGCATTAGTCTCACTTAGCAGTGGGTTAAGTGTCCTTAGGTCAAATATGACTCACAGCGACCATATGAACAAAAACCCTGAACTCTGTTCTATCGTTGACATTTCTTTTATGTTGACAGGAATTTTAAAAACCCAACACCACACAGATACAAACTTAGTGCCATAGAGTTGGTTCTGACTCATAGCAATCCTGCACTAGGCTTCTCAGGCTGTAGACCTTACCTGGAGGGGAATACCCATTTCTCTCCCACAGAGTGTCTGGTGGATTCCAACTGCCAGAGATTTGCAGTCTTTTGGTTTGCTGTACAACATCCTACAAATGAGCTAGCAAAAGAAAGTTCTTCTCTTTAAGGAGCATAAGGGGAGAATGGTCATAGATGCTAAAAAACATCAGACAACTACCTGGCCAACTGACTGGAAGAAGAGATCTGGATTTGTTTCCATTCCAAAGAAAGGTCATCGACAGAGTGTGGAAATTATCAAACAATATCATTAATGTCACAAGCAAGCAAGATTCTGCAGAAGATTATCCCAAAACAACTGGAACAGCACATCAGCAGAGAATTGACAGAAGGAACTAGGGATATTGTGGCTAATGTTAGACGGATCTTGGCTGAAAGCAGGAAATAATACCAGAGGAATGTCTATCTATGTTTCATTGATTTGACTGTGTGGATCACAACAAACTGAGGCTAACTCTGAGAATGGGAATCCCAGAACACTTGATTGTGCTTATGTGAAACCTATACTTGGATCAGGAGGCCGTCGTCAGCACAGAGCAAGGTACTGGGTACAGTGTACGCCACAGATGTGTCCTATCTCCATATCTTTTCAATCTATATGCAGAACAGATTATCTGAGAGGCTGGGCTCTATGAGGATAAATGTGGCATCAAGATTGGAGAAAGACTCATCAACAATATGGCTTTTGCAGATGATATAACCCTGATTGCTGAAACAGTGGAGGACCTGAAGCGCTTGCTGCAGAAGGTCAAGGACTGCAGCCTTCAATATGGATTGAAGCTCATTATCAAGAAAACAAAGATTCTCACCACTGGACTGATTGGCAGCATTGTGATGGATGGTGAAGAGACTGAGACTGTAAACAGCTTTAATTTATCTGGTTCCACAATCAACACTCTTGGAACTAGCAGCCAGGAAATTAAAAGACATTCTGCATTGGGAAAGTCTACTGTCAGGGACCTCTCCAAAGTACTGAAGAGCAATGATGTCAGTCTAGAGATTAAGGTGCACCTGATACAGGCCATGGTCTTTACAATTCCTTGCTATGCATCAGAGAGCTGGACAATGACTAGGGATGACAGAAGGAGAGTCGATGCCTTTGAGCTTTGGTGCTGGAGAAGAGTATTGAATATACTATGGACTGCTAGGAAAACAAGTTCGTCCTGAAGAGGGTGAAGCCAGGCTGCTCCTTGTAGGCAAGGACTGTGAAGCTTCGTCTGACATACTCTCAGCATGTTGCAAGGAGGGACCAGTTTGGAGGGGGACGCTTGGGAGGGTGGAGGTATAGAGCAGAAAAGGAAGACCCTCAATCAGATGGATTGATTCAGTAACTGGGATAATGGGGGGGGGGGGTGTCAGAGCCAGTAAGATTAGCACAAGATAGAGCAGGGTTTAGGACTGTTGTATATAGGGTCACTATGAGTCACAGGCGATTCAAAGGGGCATAACACAACAATAAGGAGCCTGGTGAGCCAGTGATTAAATCTGGCTGCCAACCAGAGTTTGTTAGAACACTCCAACTGTTTTGTGGGAGCACGAGGTGCTAATATCTGCTTCCATAAAGATTACTGCCTTCGAAACCGTATGGAGTAGTTCTACTTGGTCCTATTGGGCCACTATAGTTAGAATACATTCGATGGCACAGAACAAGAGTTAGAAGTGCTATAAAATAAAATAAAGCAGAGAGAGGGTTAGCAACTAAAGAAAGATATTTTAGAAAGCGCGTTTCAGAAAAGAAAAACTTTAAAAAAGCAGAGAGGGAATGTCAGGTTGCAAACCTGAAACGGCAGAAGAGGTAATAACACACACTTAAGTTCTGAAGCCTCGTTAAATACGGTGGGAACGAGTCATCAAGGGTCGAGGACCTTCCATGTAAGTAAGTACCTTTCTCTTACGGAGGGGTACGGCCTTGTTGGGGTCCATGGCCAGCCCCATCTCAGCAAGGTTCTGCCGCACCGATTTGGCACGATCCCAGGCATGTCGGATGTGGGAGCTGCGGGCAGAGAGAGGAAGATGGCATGTCCATCATCACCAGTGGCAGCTTAGCTGAGGACCCTGCCTCCCGAATCCTAGACTCTTACCACTCGATCCGCGGCGCTGCCTTCCGCCGAGCATTCCGGTTCAGCCGCTTCCGGTTGACATTGTAACCGAATTTCTGCCTCCTAGTCTTGCCCTTGGCTTTGGGCATTGCGATGACAAGAAGACCAACAGCTCAAACTCAAGGGCGATCACGCTCAAGCACCTCGTGTAGCAGCAGAGCGCTTCCAGCCGGTCTGAACGTGGATTGGAAGATCTGTGGGAAATGTAGTCCTTCCGCTCCCAGAATGGAACGCATGATAAAGCCGGCGTACGACGTTCCCCGCCCTTCCTTGACGTCATCAGTGGAGTTCGGCGTTGCCGCAGCGGTTACTCTCGATATGGCAGCTCCTAGCCCTGTTCCTCCGGAGGGATCCCTTGACCCATCGCAGCCGCCAGCTATTGAAGGTTTTAGCCCTAGTGTCTACAGAGACTCAGAAAGCTTCAAAGGCAAATTCCTTCGCAAGACCAGCGAGAATCCAATGGTTCCCATAGGTAAGCGCTATTGTAGGAACTGTAGACCGAGAAGCCACTGATGTCGAGGGGAATGAACTAGGGAAGGACCGGAGACGCCAGGGGGACCGGAAATGTCAGTGGACCAGAGATGCCGCGAAGAGGTGGCGCGGTAAAGTTGAATCTTGATTAAAGAGGGCAGTGGCTGATCTCGGGGCAAGGGTGAGACGGGCTTTGGAATGCCAAGGGCCTGGTCCTTGCATTTGAACCCCCTGAGAAGGAAAGCAGGGAAGGTCCTCTAGAGCGGGGCCTCTTACTACCTACCTCTTGATCTCTTCCTCAGGCTGCCTGGGCACAGCTGCCGCCCTCACGTACGGCCTTTACAGCTTCCACCAGGGCCAGAGCCAGCGCTCTCAGCTCATGATGCGAACCCGGATCGCTGCCCAGGCCTTCACGATCGCAGCCATTTTGATCGGTCTGGCTGCATCCGCTATGAAGGCTCGACGCTAAGGCTCTAGGAGGGCCTTAAATGCATCGCAGATAATCCACTGACCCCTTGTTGATGGGGAAAGAAGTGGAGTTCCTCAAGGCGCTGAATCTTAAAATGTTGTATACTTGTTTGTCTCGTACGTACTTTCACGCCCCACTTAATAAACTATAATTCACTTGTAGCTTGGAGAACTTATTCCCAGTCTTATCCTTTTGGTTTGGTGACGAGACAGATTTCATACTGGAGGGACCCTTGGAAATCATCTGGCATTGTGATTCCCAAATAAGTGATGAGTGGCACCTACTAAACGTACAAATTCCTAGCTCTTTCTCTATAAAGTACCAATTAATGGCTTTTTTTCCCCAAAAATAAAATTTAACATGTTCTTAAATTCTTTCCTCTAACATACAAGAAGCTAAAATGACAAAATAACAGTATTTATTATTTCATTCATTATTATTCACAGTGGTTCTTTAATAAAATCAAGATCATGATACATATTCACTTTTACCTCAATACCTGAAAAATTTTCACTTGGCTTGTTGGAATCTTTTTCCACACAAGACCCATGTTCTACATTTAGATGTTAACCATCAAGTTCCTTTTAATAATCTGTACTTCATGCCATTGTTTGTATTAAATAACAAGAAATCATTTTTTAAACAATCCTTACATTCAAATTCTGCTGTATTTATCCTCATAGTATTTTTAATTTCTTTTTTCCCCTACTAGTTTATTTACAAAATTTTAATACAAATTTGAACTCTTTCAATTTCCCTTACCACCCCACCCACCAAATTGTACAACCCAATGATTAATCCCTCCTTCCCCCTGTACATCCACGTCGCTCTGCTTCCAGTCTCTCCCACCCCTCCTCTAACACTTATTCATGGATCAATTCATGCCTCTTGATCGATGTCTTTTGTCATTAGTTGGCTCCAACTCATAGTGACCCTAGGACAGAAAGAAAGCCTGCTCAGTCCTATGCTGTTCTCACAAGCTGTGTTATGTTTAAGCCTATTGTTGCAGTTGCTGCATCAATCCATCTTGGTGACGCTTCCTAATAAGTCCTCTTTCCAGTTTGATGTGGTCATTTCAGGAGGTAACATATGACCAAGAGTGATACTTTTGATGGAGTAATTCAAGATAAACTGGTCAGCCAATACTTTTCATGTATTCAGTAGGTAGGTCTTCCTTCAGAAGAGCCTGTCCTACAACAGTAATATTCTGTGGTCATAAAAGGAGCAATCTGCCAGCCTAATGATAAGGAGTTGCTCTGTCAAAGGCAAGTGATTCAAGTCCACCTGCTGCTCCAGGGTAGAAGGATGGGAAATCTGTGTGATTTACAGCCTCAGAAAACCCACTGCAGAGTCAGCTAAGAGTTTCAACTAAATGACAGTGAGTTAGAGGGATTTTGTTGTTTTTATGAGCCTCCGGAAATTCTTTGTAGTAACAGTGCTCAGGCTGTTCGTTCATAGGGTCGTTATGAGTCGTCTACAACTCGAAGGCACCAAACAACAACAACAACATCATATAGATACTCTTCCCCTCTTTTCTACCTCCTCAGAGTCCCAGGGTTTGATGCATCTTACATAATAAGAGCCAGGCTCAGAGAAATAACCTGTTAGAGTAGAAAGTAGTGTTAGAGAATACTGAATATCCCATGGACTGCTAAAAGAACTAACAGGTATGTCTTGGAAAAGGTAAAGCCAGAGTACTCTTTGAGGGCAAGAAAGGCAAAATTTTTTCTCACACACTTTAGGCATGTTGCTAGGAGAGGCTGTTCTTCAGAGAGGAACATCATGCTTGGAAAGGTGGAGGGATGATGAAAGAAGAGAAGACCTTCAACCAGGTAAATCGGCACAGTGACTGCAGCTGTGGATTCACATATGTCAGATGATGAAGATGGCACAAGTTAGGGCAGAGTTCAGATCTGTTGTTCATAGGTTCACTATTGGTTGTACTTGACCAGCACCTAAACCACAAGGCTTTGAAGAACTTTCAGCATTTTTCAAGTTGGAAGAACTGAAAAAGAAATCCAAGCTTCAAGTTGCAATACTGAAAGATGCTATGGACAAAATCTTGAATGACCCAAGAAATATCAAAAGAAGATGAAAGAATACACAGTCACTGTTCCAAAAAGAATTGGTTAACATTCAAAAATTTCAGGAATTACCATGTGATCAAATGCTAATGATGATGAAGGAAGAAGTTCAACCTGTACTGGCAAAAAATAAGACCCAGGGGATTGATGTGATAACAAAATTACATGTTTCAGCTAAGAGATGTAATTTTGGATGTGCTAACCAGCCTGTGCCAGGAAAATTGGGAGACAGCCATCTGGCCAACTGACTGGAAGAGGTCTGTATTCTTGTTCCCAAGAAAGGTAATTCAACAGAATGTGGCAGTAATTAATGATACTGTGGCACAATGACCTTAATATCACATGCAAGCAAAATATTGCTGAAGATCATCCCAAAATGACTAGAACAGTAGAGAACTGCCAGAGGTCCGAGTTTAGAAGAGATTGTGACACTAGTGATATCATTACTGAAATAAGATGGATCTTGGTTGAAAGCGGAGAATACTAGAAGAATGTCTTTATGTTTTATTGATTGTGCAAAGGCATTGACATAATAATAATATAAAATAATAATAAAAATATAATAATAAACCATGACTAACATTGAAAAGAATGGGAGATTACAGAAACAATTATGTCCATGTGAAATCTATACCTAGCCCAAGAAACTGTTGTCTGAACAGAGCAAGCAAACACTGCATGGTTTTAGAAAGGTATGTCAGGACTGTATCCTTTCTCTATACTTATGCAATCTGAATGCTGAGCAAATTATTCATGAAACCTGATTTATGAAGAGGAATCAGGACTGGAGGAAGACTCATCAACAACCTGTGTTCTGCAGATGACACAACCTTTCTTACTGAAAATGAAGAGGACTGGAAGTCTTTGCTGCAGAAGATCAAATACACTACATCTCAAAGAAGACAAAATTCTCACCACCTGGACCAACAGGCAGCATTGTGATAGATGGAGAAAGGATTGAGGTTGTTAATGATTTCACATTGCTTGGATTCACAGTCATTGTTCTTGGCACCAGCTGTCAGGAAATCAAAAGACAAGTTGCACTGGGAAAATCTGCTGTCAAGGATTTCTCCAGAATGCTAAAGAGCAACATTGTCATTTTGGAGACTAAGGTGTGCCTGATCCAGGCTATATAGTCTTCTCAGTTGAGGGTCTTCCTCTCTTTTTTTTTATTATTATTAATATTAATGAAAGTTTACAGAGACTGATGATTTCCATTCATTCATTGTTGCACTTTTCTCCCTGCCCACCCCTCCCTCCCCCCAATTCGCTCTTTTCTTTGAAAAGTAAAATTCTTTCATTTTTATACAATCCCTCCACCCAAGTCCAATCCACTATGCAGGCTTCATTCTGGACTCCTGTCATGACAATAATACCTAATCACATATCCCTTTTAAACAGTTTTTTCCCCTTATCTATTTCAATGCAGTATACATTATCCCATCTTTCTCAGTCTCCCCACAACCCCAATGTCAGTCCTGTTTTACAACAGTGGCACTATGCAATATTTGTCCTTTTGTGACTGAGATATTTCACTCAGTATAATGTCCTCCAGGGTCACCCATTTTTAATAGTATTGCATGAGGTCCTTTTTCAATGCTGCATAGTATTCCATTGTGTGAATATACCACAGCTTCTCTATCCATTTGTTTGTTGATGGGCACTTAGGTTGTTTCCAGCTCCTTGCTATTGTGAACAAAGCCGTGATAAACATGGTTGTACATGTATCTGCTTGGGTGGCAGTTAAGGTCTCTTTGGGGTATATTCCCAGTATTGGAATTGCTGGGTCAAATGATATCTCTATTTGCAACTTTTTGAGAAAGTGCCACACCACCTTCCACAGTGGTTGCACCATTTTACACTTCCACCAACAGTGAATAAGGGTTCCAGTTTCTCCACAACCTTGCCAGCATTTGTTGCTTGCTGTTAAATTTTGCTATTCTGCCTGGGGTGAGATGATATCTAATAGTTATTTTGGGTTTTCCTTTCTTTGACATTCTATCTTTCCTAGCAAGATGTCCTTTTCCACGTGTTTTACTCTCTGGTGTGCAGGAAGGTGTTGAACAATGGAATGAACTACTCAGGACTTTAATTAATCAAGAGGTAAAGGGAGAAGAGCTCATAGTTGAGTATCCTCTCAACCTGTAAGTCCACATAGCTTTTCTTTCAGAAGGTTTATTCATTATACAAGCAGAAAACCATGTTGATTAGAGTGACAAGAGAAGATGTTGTTTACTGTTTCTTGTCTTCACTAACTGACTCTTCCTGTTTATAAGACCATGTCCATATCAGAAGTCAGCCAGAGAATCAAGGTTTTACACACACACACACACACACACATCCATAAGACAGTATCCTTTTTCCTTGATTACTTCCCCCACCCCTTTTTCCTTCTTGTGTACTGTTGAATTATATGCGACTGGCACAGAAGGAGATAGCACCTCCTTCTCCAGCAGAGCTGATTACATTTTTCAAATGTCTTTTTTCATTTGAGAAAATTCTTTTAAAAAAAATTCACCCGATTACATTTTTTACATTCTTTTCATCCAGGTAGCTCCAGCCTTAGTCAGTTTAATCCCTACACCAAGGACTGGCCCCTCCTTAACACGCCAAAAGTATGTGAAATCAGGTCTCACTGTATATGTCTTTAAGGAGCACCCTGCTTGCACTGCTCCAAAACAAACTTAAAATCTTCTGTTTTACTCTTATTTCAGCATTTCTTCCCTATATTTGGCCTCAATATTGTAGTGCAAGTTTCAGAATCTCTTCTGACATCCATTTTCCTTTCTTTCCTGTCTTTGTAATGTCCTTTTGTTTTCTTCAAAGATGATGTACTTGGTGCTATTCCACATCTCTTTTGGACATTTGTGTTCAGTGCATCAAGTAAATTCTTTTTTTCCCCAGTATTTTATTCAG